AAATAGTTTACAGCTAAATATGCATTTTTCATACAACACTGAAGTTTAGAGCCGTGGTAGCTCAGGGCATAAGCTCTCGATGTAAATTTCAAAGTACGCGAGCAACTCGCGTTCGATCCCCGCCGACACTAATGAAAATGTTAATTGCAGTTTTAAGTGCTAATTTAATACGTGTTGTCTGCATGTTTGAGAAATAAGAAAAAGAAACATTTCGAAGACGTGAGGTCCGCCAAAACGCATTGGCGTTTAGGCATTAGGACATTTCCTTGTCCTAAAACCCTCTCAGAAATGAGCGCAGGCCTTTGCCCAGATGTAGGACGTATATAGGCTGTAACTTTAACTTTTAACTGAAGATTAGGCATAATCGTCACTTCATCCACTTCGGCATGCTACTTGGTAGGCGGGTTGGATCATAATACCTTTGAAGTAGCTGGATATTGACGTCTGCTAATGTTGCTATAGTATACTGCCATCTATTTGGCCGTATAAGAGAATTCACACTACCACCACAACCATACATATTTGTCATAGTTGCCATGCGTGGCCGGCGGGTTCCAAACGCAATTTTTCTTAATATTTTTGAGGAACGGGCGTTGCTGTTTAAATTGATCTCCAAAAACAAAAAGGTTCTACGTATATTCGATGCGAATGTTTATTTTTATGTTGTAGTATAAGTATATTAACCGATTACTCGGTTTTAACGACCCGATTTTAACGATTTTATTTACATAAATAGGTGGTTGTTTCAGAAGTGGTTCCTTATTAATTTTAGGACAAAATTACACACTTCAGGGTGGAAAAATAGGTGACGAAGTTATTAATGTCACTAGTTAGACTACATTCTAGTTGTTTCTTCCATTGAATTTATGATAAAAATAGAAACTTTTTTTATTCCATTATCTATATAGATAATAAATAATACTTATTGAAAGTCACTCTTATATTTAATTTACCACTGGTATGGAAAATACCTCTGTCCTGAGAAGAACCAGCAAGAAACCCAGCGGGACATTCTTTTGTTGAAAAACAAAAACAGTTTGCAATATATATTTATATTATATTTATTAAATAATATTTTAAAATGTTTAAAAATTCTACTTTAGCTTCTGAAGTCTAGGATGTGTTGTTTCTAGGGTCGGTTTTCTATTTTCTGTCGAATGCTTTTTGTTTCTAGAATTTCGTTAGTTTCCCCGACACCCATAAAATGAGATGGCGTAATGGATTCTCCCGTAGCTCACTAGCTCACGGTAATTAGATTTTGTTTTGTATTTTAATTACAGTGCTAATGTGATTTATAAACAAAGTGAAATAACTAAAGAGGAGTAATTTGAAACAGGTTAATACAATCTACTATTACTTTCCGAAAATAAAGTCTAAGGAATAAAGATGAGACATTAACAATAATAATAAGAGTTAAAATCTAAGGTGTAATATAAAAATTTAATTTTGTAATGGATCAGTGTTGTCTGTATCAAATAATTTTTTTTATAGGATGGGGTGACAAACGAGCACACAGTCCACCTGATGGTAAGTGCTGTGCTGTGGCCCATAGAAATCTACATTTATCCTCGTTTGCGAATCAAAATGCAGATGCGTTGTCACCCGTGAGGACTAAGATGGAATGCCTCTTTTCCAGTAAAAAGGGTCTCCGGTTCTCTACACTCACCATACGAAACACACAGAATGCCAGCGTAAAATAGCAGCATTAAGCTGCTATTTTACGCTGGTGTTCTGTGCGAGCGTGGTCCTTCCCCGGGCGAGCCGACCCATTGGTGCTACAACTATACTACTAATATAGCTGCAGCATGGCTCTACCACGTCTAAGATTATTATTATTACTAAACAAATTTTGTACACAAAGTAAAAATGATAAACAAAGGAGAATTAACTTTGTTTTATCTTTAAATAATATACATTTCCGATTCCGTTCTTATAATAGGGATGGCCGTGACTTACATCCGTGTATTCGAAAAGTGGGACTCGCTTTATTCTCATTAAAACGTTTAGTGTCCTTGACATGTTTGTTTGTAAATGTGACCTTATTTCTCTGATACTTAGGACGTATTTTAAAGAATGTTAATAAGTACCAGGTGGTCTAATTTCTTTGTCTAGGCGTCCATTTGCGGATGTACCACCATCTCATCTATTTCTGCTGCCAAACAACGGTGTGCACTTCTGTGTTCCGGTCTAAAGGAAATAGAGAGCCAGTACAGTTGCAGACTGTGAGGCATTCCATCATAGTGACAAAGTATTGAGAGAAATCAGGCGCAGGACCAACGGCATTACAGAAACACTGCCTACTTTCTGATCCGGGCGAATTTCTTGACAATTTTTTTTTATACGTGGTGGAGCTATGCTGCAGCTATATTATTGTTGTAGCACGAATGGGTCGGCTCGACTATCGTCGGCTGTGAAACGGTGAGCAGATGGGCGGTGCGAGGAAGTGTAGCGGGCTTAAAATATAATTATATCTATGGCTGTTGAGAAAAAAAAGGAAAATTTTTTAAAGTTCAATTTTAATAAGAGGAAATATAAACAGAGGAATGTTTTAAATCATTTTCAAATTGAATGCAATTCGTTATGTTTAACCTCGCAATACATCCCTCGCACACATCCCTCGCAACACATCCCTCGCACACATCCTTCCCTTGTTTTTTATGTACAAAAATCTCGCTCCGCTGAACCATTTCCACTAGAGCTACGCTGAGCGAGGATAGGCAAATGAAGTGATTCTTTTGGTTCTTAAAAAACACATTCCTCGCTACGCATTCTCGCACATCTCTGATGGAAACGCAGCTTTAAATGCTTTGAGAGTTTTATTATCAAAACTTTTGTTTTGCATGCATTTTTTTTCTTAGGTAAGGGACTCGCACGGTTGTACTTTTGCCATTGTCGAGTAATAGGAAATTATCCTTTAAAAATATTGTTTAAACTTTCCCACGATATGATGATGTATCACATACATCAAATTGCGGAGTTGATGGGAGACTTTAATGACAGCTTAAGCTAACAGGCAAAGAGTCGAGGATGACAGTATCTCAAATTTTTAAGGCGCCTAAACGGACAAAATAACTTGAGGTTTATATTAACATTGGAGCACATGTTTCGTCATTTCACTATAGTCTTTGCGTTATAGCATGGTGCGGGTGACAGCTTACACTTTTGGCGTATCTATAGATGGAAAAATGTTAAATCGATTTTAAAAAGGCGATTAACGATACACAAAGCAAAGCAAAAATTATCGATTAGCTATTGATATAAAAATTAAAACCGAAACATATATTTCTTTATAAACTACACGGCATGTAAAATTAAGTTAAAGTTTAAAACAAATTATGACATAATTGTTACATAATAGCTGTTCCCCGCTTGGTATTTATTACGATTGGATTTCATGGGTTTTAATATTTTTGCGCGGAATCCTAATTCTTTTTCTAAATTTATAATAGCTCACATGCGCAGACACTTAACATACAAAATCGCATCTTTTTCGTATTAAAATCTGCTTAAAAGTATTATGTAAACGATAAAACAGGAGCAAAATTCGCCTACCATAACTTTTATAAAGACTTTTAAACAGATAATGATTTTTGTTACAAAATTCAAATTACGAACAAACTTACCGTTCACATGATGGTAAGTGGTTACTGCAGACCATGGACAATTGCAGCTAACGTTAAACAAAGAAGACTACAGATGCGTTGTTACCTCTGAGAACTAAGTTGGAATGCATCTACTGTAATTATACTGGCACTATCGATATATATATATATATATATATGTACATGTGATTGCGCATTCCGAACATTGACTATGTTCAACTGCACTGTCCTGCAATCCCTACACTAAACTAAATATTGCACAAATTGAAGATTTTTGAATTCCATAAGATAATTATAATTACATTTTATTTAGAAACATGTTTGTTTAGATTAAAATAAGAGTATTTTATATTAAATTGTTATATTTATTTTATATTAATATCTTATTTTATATTATCTCCCGCGCATACGCGCAGACACAGAGTAGCGCACAATTTTTGTTTGGAATAGCTACTCTAGTACGTACTACATATAACTCAATGACTGGCACTCTATACCCTTAAGAATGGAACAAAGCAGTTCAAGCTCGTATTTTGCTATTAGCAGTGCAAGCACTGCTATTTGGCGACAGGAATAGGTGACAGAGTGGTCCTACTGCATTATTTGGCGACAGGAATAGGTGACAGAGTGGTCCTATTGCACAATTTGGCGACAGAAATAGGTGAAAAAGTGGTCCTGTACTACCCAGAAAGCCTACATTTCTTTTTGGTTACTTTTTTGAGGCGTCATCATCGTTATCACAATCCCGTTAGGACAGATATTATTAAATTAATTTGATATTATTATAATATTCCACTGTTGGAATACTCGTCTTCAATAATAGCGGAATCGTTGTTATCGCCACACTTCAAACGGCGATTGCAGCATCTCTTCGGTCTATTTTAAGACTAGCTTAATACAGGAATTTTAATAATTTTATTTTCTTACAGTTGACGCTTAAATCATCTAGCTTAGGGATGGGGTGGTGTGATAATAGATTACATTTTAAAGGCACTAAACAGCTCCTTCACACGATGAAAAAACAATGTACTAAAATTATTGTCACAATTAATTAACGTTACATATTGTAAATAAAAAAAAGATAAATAGTTATCAGTCGGTTTGTTAGTAATCATTTCCTGCACATTTTACGCGAGTACAACGCCAACATAACTGCGAATTAGTATACCCATCAATGTCAATGAGATTTATATATATTAATTTGCATTAATGCAACTTGCTACAGTTTGTATCGTCTATATAATCGAATAAGACGCTTCGCGGCCTAAGTTATATATTCTGGGCGGTTTTCAGACTTTTATGAAGTAAAATAATATATATTTTATTGTTAAATGTATGCGGGTAAACTATCTGAGATTATAGTTTTGAATATAATTTAAAATTAGAATATAATATAAAATGCAGGTCGTTAAGAGTTTATTGTGTTTTGTTTGCGTATTTGTCGTTTTTAATGCAGGTGTGTGCACTGGACACTTTTGGGTCACAACAGATGACTGTAAGTAGATATATATATATATTTTTTAATTATAAAATAATATAATGTAGGTAAATAATTTGTAACATTGTGCTTAAGTTGTTATACATTTTTATCGTCATGGCAAATGTTACCTTACAGGTAGTAACGATTACTTACATTCACGTTATGTAGTCGCGATGTAGGTAGGCTTATATGTTTTAGCGACAACATTGTAAATATTTTTGTTCACTTTGTGTAACAATGTGGGCATTTGGGGACACATTTATATATTTAATATATAAATACATGATAAGGTGAGTATATACTTAGTGTTTTCCATAATTAAAAATTAAAAATTTTGTACAACCGACTTCAATTTAAGTTATTAAGAATAACTCAAAAACTATTGGCTAGACCTTAATCAAATTTATATGGGACCACATGTGAAGCACCAGCTTTCAAATAAAAAAGAATCATCGAAATCGGTTCACCCTGTAAAAAGTTATGAGGTAACACACATAACAAAAAACATGCAATCGAATTGAGTACCGTCTCCTTTTTGAAGTCGGTAGAAAATAAGGTTTGCATAATAAAATTCAGAATATCGTCGGGTAGGATTCTGAGTCGGAATACGAATAAATTTTCAAATCAAGTAAGGAAATCTATTTCTCTTTAGAACAACCGTAAATCAGCCATGAGTGTGCAAAGGCATAATAAGTTTATAGTGCCGTATGTCTTCATATCTGTTTTCTTTTTGATTTCACGAAGCGCATCTGAAAGAATGACTTGACTCACGAATAACTTTACTTTTTTATAATGTGTGCTTTCAAATTTGCGCGCTCAATGAGTGAAAACACATTAATAACTTTTATCTTTTCATCATTATCATTATCATCATCATCATCATTATTACACTCTCCAATTCCCCTGCTGAATATTGATCCACACCTGATAATGCGACAAAATATGGTTTTAAGCTATCTCCATCTATATACTTCCTGCAAATCTTACCAGCTCATCACTCTTTATTAGTTAAGATTAAATTAAATTAATTTGCAGTGGGGTTTTTTATGTGGATTGTGTAATATTAATTTGGTGGTTTTAATTAGGTAATTTGTTTAACTAGGGTAACATTTTGCAGTAGCTACCTTGTGTTTAATTTTGGCTCATCTGTTATATAAAAGTAAATTGGTGTGTTGGGTGGTATTGGTGGTGGCAGTGATAGTGCACACAATTGTGGTAGGGAAATAGGGGAGGTGCCCTTAAAACTATGTAATATACAGTTTTTACTTTTTACTAGAAGCGTAGCTTGATTTCCATTCATCAACAGGTGACCATTGTCTTCATTTTCATGATTCGAAGAGTCTTCATTTTCACGATTTCAATATTGTTAATAAGTAATATAATTTCATTTTAAATGGTGCAAGGCTGTACAATTTCATAAAACGTCAATAATTTTAGGTTGCCCGAGATGAAAATTAACTTAATATCTATCTATATTTTACTATAAATAAAATATATATATTCTCTTATTGAAAACAAAAGAATAATATGCGCGGATTTAATGCCTTTGGACGTGCTCTATCAGTGAACGGATTGTCGAGCATTATATGCTGAATAAAAGTGAATTTTAGTCGCCTAAATATGTAAAGAAAACTTGCGTGTTCGTGAACAATTATCGTTGTCGAGGAATCCGATCTAAACGATCGATTCTCATGTGGCATGTGTGGGAACTTTTAGTTCAACTGCAGATTAGTACCTTTTTTCTATATTAACTTATATTAGGTCACGTTCTTTTTTATAGAATGTAGAGAGACAAACGAACACATATACCTCCTGATCTAGTGATTAGATGCTGAGGTTTTTTTTATAGGATAGGGTGACAAGCGAGCACACAGTCCACCTGATGGTAAGTGGTTGCTGTGACCCATAGACATTTACATCTATCCTCAATAAAGAATCAAAATGCAGATGCGTTATCACCCGTGAGGACTAAGATGGGATGCCTCTTTTCCAGTAAAAAGGGTCTCCGGTTCTCTACACTCACCATACGAAACATAGCACCATTAAGCTGTTATTTTACGCTGGTATTCTGTAAGAGCGTGGTCCTTCCCCGGTCGAGCCGACCCATTCGTGCTACAACTATACTACTAATATAGCTGCAGCATGGCTCTAACACGTACAAAAAAAGTTCATAGACAACTACATTAAACTACAGATAAGAATTCAAATGCATATGCGTTGTCACCCGAAATTGCGAGAGAATCGAGTTAAATCGCAACATGTACCTACCACTAAATATGTTTAAATGCCGGCGTGACTGACTCATGCCGAACACATCGCACAGACTGGTTATAGTGAGGGGCATAACTCCAAGACGAAGGTATCAACTTTGAGTTCACTGAACTACCTACCCACAGTAGGGAGTATTTTCACCTCTTTCAAGAATACTTGCTATCCCAATATACAAACGTGGTTTGCTGAAGGTAGTTTAAAATCCATAATAATACATGTTTATTCATTGTTAGGTCCTTATAAAATAACTAGCTGATACCCGCTCGTTTATCTGGGCGCACGATAGTATTATACTGCGTAATGTATTAATTTTTTAATTTTTTTATGGGGCTATCGTAAAATCCGTTCTTAGTGCGCGTCTACATTGCGAAAGGAGTAACTATACTAAATTTCAAATCAATCGGGTGAATAGTTTTAGAGATGTCGTGATGGGTCAGTCAGTCAATGGTATTTCGCATATATAATACAGATTGTCGTTATTTTTTAAAAAGTATACAATTTAAAAAACAGATATAATAAATAACAGTAAAAAAGTACAATTCCCCTCTACTAAAGGAATACAAAAAGTTTAGTATTTTTCCATACCGTTTAGCGGTTACAGAATGATTTTTCATAGCTCAGCACCCCTAATTACTAGGTCACCACTTTTAATTACCAGCTCACTGTAATCACTGAAAAAATGCAGTTTATATAGTTCAGTAGGACAGCGTTCGCGTGATGAAAGTCACATCGCTACTTGTGGCATGCGAGAGCCTCTTCGCGGGCAACTGTTTAGAAATTCTGTTTTAGATAAGTTCAAGACGTCAGGTCTTAGACTATTTACTACTGGATAAAACTAAAAATAGCATCCAAAAATTAAACTTTTAATAAACGCAAAAGAAGACTTCAAAGAACTAAAACGACAACTATGTGGCGCAGTTGTCAGCAGTGATGAAGTTGACGGAACAAGTTTTTGTATGGTCTACAAGTAATTATTCACCATACAAATCTTCTTTCATTTTCTACCGACTTCAAAAAAGAGACGGCATTCAATTCGACTGTATTTTTTTATGTGTGTTACCTCATAACTTTTTTCTGAGTGATTCGTTTTCGATGATTCTTTTTTCATTTGAAATCTGGTGTTTCTCATGTGGTCCCATATAAATTTGGTCAAGGTCGGACCAATAGTTTTTGAGTTATACTTAATAATTTATATTGAAGTCGGTTATACAAAATTTTTTATTTTAAATTAGTACACAATACCTGTTAGTTATCCACTTATTATGAAGTAGAACTTATTTAATAAAAAAAAGAATAATTACAATCGGTTCAGAAATACACTCGAATTGAAAGCCTTCTCCTTTTATGAAGTTGGCTTTAAAGAGAAATAATTATTGATAAAGCGATAGAAAATCCATTATTCCCTTATTTCTCTTCGTGGGTACCGTAAGAAGCAATTATAAGAAATGCCAAAAAGATCTTATGGCTTCCAACATACGTTAAATTGCTTACATCAACAATATGGGAGCAAGGTCAAGGTTGGTGAGATTTATGTCTGCCAAGTGTGGCGATTACGGAAAAATGTCCGTAGAATTAGAGAGGACCATGTCCAGACGTTATATTTTATAGAATGACGAAGAACAAGATGAACGATTCCAAATTGGTTAAGCTGAATTTTGATTTTGAAAGTATCTGTAGTGAAATGAGTGATTTCTTTTAGTTTGCGCGTATGCTTGTGGAAAAATTCCCTTTCCTTTGACAATATCTGATGGCATTCTCAATCAGCATTCAGTATTGTTCAGTTTTAAATGTGGTAGAGACATGATGCAGCTTTATTAATTGCATAGTTGTAGCACGAATGGGTCGCTCGACCGGGGAAGGACCACGCTCTCACAGAATACCAGCGTAAAATAGCAGCTTACTGCTGCTGTGTTCTGTTTGATGAGTGTAGAGAACCGGAGACCCTTTTTACAGGAAAAGAGGCATTACATCTTAATCCTCACGGCTGACAACGCATCTGCATTTTATTCGCAAACGAGGATAGATGTAGACACAGCAACCACTTACCGTCAGGTGAACTATGTGCTCGCTTGTCACCCTTATTCTCATACTCATTACAGCCTTTCACAAGTCCACTGCTGGACATAGGCCTCCCCCAAGGAATGCCACAAAGCACGGTCCTGAGCCACCTGTATCCATCGACTTCCTGCATGTCTTACCACGTCGTCACTCCATCTCGTGGGGGGGTCGCCCTACACTTCGCCTACGAGTACGAGGCTGCCACTCGAGAACCTTTCTTCCCCATCGATTGTCGGTTCTTCGAGCTATATAGCCGGCCCACTGCCACTTCAGCTTAGTAATCCGTTGGGCTATGTCGGTATACTCTGGTTCTACTGCGGATATCCTTATTTCTAAGTTTATCACGCAGAGAAACCCCGAGCATAGCCCTCTCCATAGCTCGCTGAGCGACCTTGAGCTTCCTCATATGGCCAGCAGTGAAGGACCACGTCTCAGATCCGTAAGTCATCACTGGCAACACGCACTGGTTGTACAATTTCGTTTTAAGGTTTTGAGGTATGTCTAACGGGAAGATGTGTCGTAGTTTCCCGAAGACTGCCCAGCCGAGTTGAATCCATCGATTGACCTCTCGGTCGAAGTTGGACTTACCTAGTCGGACTATTTGTCTCAGGTAAACATACTCGGCAACAACTTCGAGCTTAGTGCTCCCAACAACTAACGCCATAGGTGTGACATGGACGTTAAACATGATTTTTGTTTTGTCCATGTTCATCTTAAGACCTATCCGTTGGGAGACACTATTGAGGTCATTGAGCATAGTGCTTAGGTCCTCCAGCGATTCTGCCATAAGGACTATATGGTCGGCAAATCGAAGGTGTTGATGTTGATGTTAATACCGCATCCTTTCCAGTCCAGCAGCTTGAAAACGTCTTCCAATGCAGCGGTGAAGAGTTTCGGGGATATAAGGTCACCCTGTCTTACACCTCTCTGCAGTTGGATAGGTTTCGTACTCTGATTCTGTACTCGGATAGCCATCGTAGCTCTACTCTACAAACACTTCAGTACTTCGATAAACCGACAGTCAACTTGGCACCGCTGAAGGGACCCTTAGCCTATATAAATAAAAATATTCAACGCAATAGGATGAATTCTTACAAAATAGAATCTGCAGTTACTTCCAGTATTATACATTCCAAGTTTGATTGATCACCTTGGTAACGAAAAAAACAAGAAATTTATTTTTAGCACACTAATACATAATTTCTACGGCTATGCAGCTAACTACGGATAAATAATACCAGAACCACCAGAAACTACCAGAATATTTTAGTAATCCCGACGAAATTAATCGTCACTTTCTAAATATACCGGGAACAAAATCCGCCAATTCATCTAATACACCTAATATATCTAAAAAGAACCAAATATATCATTGATACATTTACGTTGATTCCAATGAGATCTAATATATGTAATTCGATACATGGGAGTGTGGACGCAAAAATGATTAAAAAATATTATAAAATATCAGACCAACAAAGAAAGATAGACAGAACACCACGTATATTTCAAGTGACAACGAAACCAAGCCGAAATCATGCATAAGTAATTGTGAGATCACACCCTCACGCACAAATACTCGTTCTAGTTTTATTTAGATATTTTTTTTTGCACTATCCAGTGTGCGCTACATGTAAATACGCGTGCATTCCTGTTTCTATTGAGGTTTTATGTCTTTATTTATTATTTTGGCGATTTTAGAACTCAGGAGCAGGGATCAGGCATAATTACATTTATGCCACATTATATTTTATTTAATATCACACCAAAAGCGTTGACATTCAAAATTAAAACCCATTTTTATTACAGTGGAAAACCACATCAGTCCCGAAGATCTCAATGAATTTTTAAAATGGCGATATCTAAATGATAATGATAATACAACTACAACTTCGTTTCCTGATTTGGACTACGGTTCGCTTGAGGTACGATTTCAAATTTTTTATAGTGCATTACATTAAATATTTTTTAATTCAGTTTGGTATAATGTCAAAATTGAGATTTCGTTTCATTTGACATGAAATTATGACCGAACTTATAAATTAATATTAATTTTGATTTAAGCCAACATACCCCAATCTAGCAGCAACGGATCGGTAAGCTGAATTGCCGATAGACCTGTCATACATATCGAAGAACCGATAACCGATGGGGAAGAAAGGTTCTCGAGTGGCAGTGTAGAACCGGTAATTGAAGTGAGTGTATAGCGGCCCCTCACTAGATACAGTGACGACTTGGTAAGATAATATGCAGGTCTATGAATGCAGCTAGCTCTGGACCGTCTTTTTGGCATTCCTTGAGGGAAGTCGATTTTGAGCAGTGGGCTTGCGACTAGTGGCTGTGATGATGACTGATTTAAAGCTGTGTGTTTCGGAAAAGAAAACAATGAGAATCAACCCAAATTAAGCATAACATGCTTGATGTAATATTTTTGTTACTTGTCCCTCTGCAAGTACTAACTCACTCAGAAGAAGTTCTTTATCTTTCTCAGAATAAGTCAGAAGTTCTTCTAATGCACAAGCTTTGTGGTAGTTTCTAGACGAAGCAATAATTCTTTCGTTTCATGGTAGGCACTTATAATTATGGTATGTATTCATTTATTAAAAATATATAAGGATAAATTTGACGAACGTTAGTACAAAAAATTTCATTCACAATCACGAACACGGGTCGTCGAGTCGGTTCTTTTTATAGAATAAGGGTAACAAATGAGCACACAGTCCCCCTGATGGTAAGTACTACTAGATACCACGGCCCATACATCTACATTTATCCTCGATTAAAACTCGATTAAGAACCAAAATGTAGATGCGTTGTCACCCCTGGGGACTAAGATGTAATGCCTCGTATTCAGTAAAAATGGTCTTCGGTTCTCTTCGGTTCTTTTCATCAAAAACATGATTCTGATAGTGCGATTGGCAAGGAATTAAAAAAAGTATCTCATTTGTTTCTCGCTTAGGATAATATTACTGGGCTCCCAGTACCCGATATCGTCGATTGCTTCGGCTTGGGCTCTTTCGCTCAGCGACTCTTCAATATGCAACCGGACTCTGCCGATAAAGTCAATACTCATTTCTACTTTTCTTCGCGGCAGTACCCGGAAAGGGTTCAGGTAACACTTCCACTATGTTTATTTTTATTTTTAAAGATACATAAATGAATTAATGATTTACCGTGACGTGGATTTGGAGAATTCCAGAAGATGCTGTCTCCTACAAATAGCGATACAACCGTTCCGTATATGCCAGATTTAAAATACCCAGAAAGGTGATGGTTAACATGGTTAAATTTACGGCAAATTATGGTGATATTGGCAAATCATGGCGACTATAGAAAATCATGGCAAATCATGGTAAATAGGAATGTCTCTGGTCTGGTCTGGAAAGAAACGCTTGTTTTGTTTATTCTTCTTTTGTTTTGCCACAATAGTAAATGGGGATTTATATCCACATTTAGTAGACTTAACAAATAATACATATTTAATAAAGCCGATTTACGGTATAATTTTAATGCAGCGATAATTTTAGGTTTTCCCTGGAGATCAGTTTGGCTTGGAATGGGTGGACTTCCGACCAGACAGACAAACAGTGATGATTGTACATGGATTCATGAGCCACAGTAACGCTTCATGGGTTACCGATATGACTCGAGCGTTTTTAGAGTGGGTAAGTCAGTATACCAAGGCAGTTCAAGAGCTTGGTGATTTTTTTAATATTCATACTAGTACCTAGAGCTACCCCGAGTTCGATTCCCGCCGGCACATCTGATATTGTTAGCCGTGCTCAGCGGTGAATGAAACAGCGTGACGGGTTCTTCGTTTTCTAAACATTCTTTTAGAAATGAGGAAAGAACTTTTTAGAAATGAAGAAAGGACTCAACTGTGGTATAAATTTAGACTATTACTTTACCTTACTTTTAAAGCGGCATTATATTATATAAGTAAAATAAGCAGAACTTTAAGGCCGTACAGTCTAGAGTTTACACTCAAATCTTACAGTGTCAAAATTTGTGCAACATAATATGGTGTAGACTTTGGGTACAAATTGTCTCTGAATAACAGGGTTTGTGTTCGTAGTGATAGTATTTACATACATTTATTTGAAACTAGCTGTTCCCCGCGACTTCGCCTGCGTGTAATTTACGATTGTATTTCATGGATTTTAATTTTTTTTGCGCGGAACCCTAATTCTTTTTCTAAAATAAAAGTAGCCTAAGTTACTCCTTATAATAGCAGCTACCTGCCAGTGAGAGTTTCGTCAAAATCGGCTCCGCCGTTTCGGAGATTAGCCGGAACAAACAGACAGACAGACAGAAAGACAAAATTTGAAAATTGTGTTTTGTTATAAGTACCGTATGTACTTTCATATGTATTTAGTAAAAAGCTGTTATATTGACATTACAAACAGACAATTTTATTTATTTGCATAGATATTTTTTCATAGATACGCTGCTTTTTCTATGATGGTTTAAATTCAGTAGCGAGCTGATCTTTGTATATTCTAACCTATCCTGATAGAGCCATGCTACTGCTGTATCATGAATCATGACTGTACTACTTACTCGTGTAATGGCAATTGACCGGGAAAGGACTACGCTCGTAGAAAATATTAGCGTAAAATGCTCCGAGCATATTGCCGCTATGTTTCTTTCTACGAAACTGTAGTGTGACACTTATTCGAGGATAGATGTAGTTATATATAGACTACTGAATCTAGTTACCATTAGGTGAACAATATGCCCGTATTTTACAAATATGAAGGGAAAACTATTCTATCGACACTTGAAGTCAAACTCAAGTAGCTTGTTGATATATGTATCTATACTAATCTATACTTAATATAATAAAGCGGAAGAGTTTTTTTGTTTGTTTGTTTGTTTAAACGCGCTAATCTCTGGAACTACCAGTCCGATTTGAAAAATTATTTTTGAATATTATAGCCTGATTCATGTGGAATAGTATAGGCTATCTAGCATTAAGCTATAGTACTCAGCTAGCCTTAAATATGGATATTTGTTAAGCAATTCAGAAGAAAAAGCACTCCCGAAATGATTTATCCGCGTACGCCGGTGTTATCGTTGGGGATACGTAAATACAATGTTCTAAAAAAATATAGACCTTAACTCCGTCTAAAAAAAAGTCCACGATACCATATGTCTATTTCTTTATATATAGCCATAATTTGGTATTTTGTGACGAAAAAGTATTGAAAATTTAAAAGTGGTTTATGAGCGTTATTATTAGGCATGGCCTATTTATCCTTACGAACGAATGTTACTTCATCATCAAGACAATTTTATGAAGATAAACTTTGTTCTTTATACCATGTTATTTGGACGCATAGTTTAAGAGGTAATGTAAAATTAAAATAATTCAATACTTAACTGGGCGCGCGAACGACGCTTAAACCCTAGCCGTTATAAAATGCTTGAACTAGGTCAATTCGCACACCTCGGACACGTGATGACGCGGGTGAAACCGCGGGGCACAGCTAGTATATATATATACACATACTAGCTGGCCAGGCAGACGTTGTTCTGCCATTTTCGACGACCCTTCATATAAAAAATCCTTAAATTCCTAATAAAAAAATATTGGGCATCATTTATCGGGATAAAAACTATCCTATCTCTCAAGTTGGACCAAACTGCACACAGTGTGCAAAATTTCATTGAAATCAGTTCAGTACTTTAGGAGTTCATCGCGAACAAACAACGTGACACGTAATTTTTATATATAAAGATATAAATAGAGATCGGAAGGTAGTACGAGTATAGGAGATTCTTAATTTTAATCTTATTCTTAATCTTATGTCGTGGAAATCCATAAAGATGTGAAGCATTTTATTTTATAGGGTGATGTGAATGTTATCGCTGTCGATTGGAGCAAAGGCGGAAATACTTGGAAGTACTGGAGAGCTGTAGCAAATACCAGAAGAGTTGGTTCCGATGTTACAGGGTGAGTGAATTTTTACAATCAAACAGCTTGATTCAAGCATAGACCAATCGTAAGAGAAATGTCTTTTAGATCGTATTTCGATCGTGGCGTTTATTCTCAAACGCGCCTAGCCTTCCGCTCAGGACGGGATAATAATGCACGAGTGTGCGTGCAAGCACAGGTGCACTCTCTATTTCCCCCACTGTCATAGTCTCATGGTACGACAATCGGATACTACCGAAGAGAGACCACAGGCGCAGATCAACGGCTTTACGTGCTTTTCGAGTCATAGGGGTGTAACATCGACGACAACTTTCTCACTCCAGATTGCTACTGAGAATGTTTTGACCGACAAAAGACAATAACTGATACTGGCCCGACCCAGGATTAGAACTCGGACCACATCTTAAAGTATCTATGGTCTGTGTTATTTGTTAAAGTTGACAAAAAATTACTTTGCGTACATCCGCTCGATAAAATAAAATGATGTATGTCCGCCCTCCCTCAATTGCGTGGACTATCCCCGTCACCACTAATCCCAGCACCACTACTCCCAACACCACTACACCACATTAGGAACTTAGCGGTTAGCCACCGTAGAGTCTATATCACCTGAGGATGCCTCGTGTAGAGGCGAAACACGTGTCGTATTGTCGTCAGTGGTGTGTCTTTCCTAGTGTAGTGGTATTGGGAGTAGTAGTGCTGGGATTAGTGGTGACGGGGATAGTGCACGCAATTGAGGGAGGGCGGGAGGTGCTCTTCAATCTAGGTAAGACACATCACTTTATTTTATAACGCGGATGTACGCAAAGTAATTTTTTGTCAACTTTAATATAATGGACTTCCGGAAAGTAACGCCTGATTCTATTAATTGTGTTATTTGTAATTGAACATTTACTATTGTGCAGCAAACCTGCTATTATAAACAATTTTATGTGGTAGAGCCACGCTGCAGCTATATTAGTAGTATAGTTGTAGCACGAATGGGTCGCCTTGACCGGGGAAGGACCACGCTTTCATAGAATACCATCGGTTTCGTATGATGAGTGTAGAGAACCGGAGACCCTTTCTTCTAGAAAATAGGTATTCCATCTTAGTCCTCACGGGTGACAATACATCTGCATTTTGCTTCTTTATTGAGGATAGATGTAGATGTACACAGCAACCACTTACAATCAGGTGGACTGTGTGCTCGCTTGTCACCCTATCCTATAACCCATTCACCCACCCGCCCCTTGCTCGCTCGTATGTAGTTACAGACCATTATGACCAAAGATAATGTGAATTTTTCGGGAGGTTATTACTCCCCAATACTTATTAATAAATTTCAGAATTTGACCACGTAAAAATAAATATGGATTTTGTTGTTGGGATGTGTTTATTGACAGTGATGGTGGCGTTAGTTAACCCATCATCTCATTTCACCCCATGGGTTTTTTTTTATAAAATAAGGGTGAAAACCGAGCACACAGTCCACCTGATGGTAAGTGGTTGCTGTGGCCCATAGACATCAACATTTATCTTCGATTACGAATCAAAATGCAGATGCGTTGTCACCCGTAAGGACCAAGATGGAATGCCTCGTTTCCAGTAAAAGGGTCTCCGGTTCTATACACACACCATACTAAACACAGCAGCATTAAACTGTTATTTTACGCTGGTTTTCTGTGAGAGCGTGGTCTTTCCCCGGTCGAGCCAACCCATTCGTGCTACAACTATACTAATAATAGCTACAGCATGGCTCTACCACGTATAATGTCACAAGAGAAGACCCTGCAATATACTAAATAAATCTCATGACTTTTGATAGATGGCAATATAACCACCTCGTTATCGCCAGAAAAGTGCAAGACGTCGCCCTGCATAGCGTGACGATAAAAGCAAGCACTCCCTTGTTATGTTTTTGTTTTATTATTTTATATTTTTACATACCTATGACGTTTTTTAACTCATTTTTTGTTAAATAAAAACATGACGGATTCCCCATACTGTGATGATGCGTTTTATGTATGAATAGTACACGAAATCTATGACAATTATTTGAAGGATATACAAGTACTAATGTTATATCCGGATATCGAACTCATGACCTACAGCGTCACAAACACAATGTATTGCCAAGCTTTCATACGTTACTTAATAGTTTTTCTTAACTTGTTTAACATTGTTACAAAGGTTCCTGCGTCAACTGATAGCTGTGACCGGAGCGAAGGTCGGAGACTTTCACTTCATCGGACACAGTCTCGGCGCTCACATTTCCTCATACGTTTCGTACCATTTGGGAGGCGTAGCAAGAATCACTGGTGAGTAATAGTCATTAATACAGTATCTTTTTCGAGATCGATATTTCTTTGTCTTTCTTATAGCCAACAGATATCGGAATTATAATTCATATAGAATGTTACTTTCGCTGTATGGGATTTCGTCGTCTGATTGGGTATCCACCCTCTTATCTAATTATGTCGCTAAAAAGCAAGTGCTTGCTTTTTGCACTTCTGTGTTCCACTGTGAACGGTATTGAGAGCCAGCATAATAACAGACTGATGGTACATCCCTAAATTTCAAGGTTTGAAGATTAGTTTTTGAGTAATCCTTAATAATTTATATTGAAGTAGGTTGTATTCATTATGTATAACAACAGCCCATCTGATAGTGAGTGGCTACTGCAGCCCAAGTACGGACATCTGCAACCATCGATCACTAAGAAAATACTAGATACACAATCCCATGCAAAAGTTCTCTAAAACTGCCGCCAATTGTTTTGACGTAATTCTAGTTGAAATAAATATACATTAATGTAAATTCAACCTTAAATGCATTGCCTAAAGTTGTGTTCACAAAGCTACGTACAAATTAAATGCGCACCCAAATGTTCGAGTGGGCGCTCATTCGGTAAGGACATTTTTTGTCATTGATAGTGTAAGTATCTAGTTTTTTATTAGTGATCGATGCCTGCAACCCATCTTAAGAGAAAAAGAAGGCCACATATATGTATTTAAAATTAAAGCTAATATAAATCATCAAAGTAAATCATAATCTTTAATCTGCGGCTCCGTGGCGCAGTGGCTTAGCAATGAGTTGCTGCGCTGGGGGCCGCGGGTTCGAATCCCGCACGCAGCAAATATTTGTATAGCCTGCAAATAATTGTTCCGGGTCTGGATGTTTGTCTTTGTGCAATATCCTAGTGTGGGGGTAATATTTTAAAAAGAAATATATCGTATATATTAATATACAGCATCCGTTGGAATATGAATACATCTTTAGAGAAGGACACAAAGAAATTGAGATTATGATGCCGGAGACAATAGCCATAGTGCTTGCAAATGAAGATAATGATTTGTTACCAATCATATTTACTTGTTATTATTCTTAAAATATTGTTTTAATTACCTAAGTGTTAGTTCATTGTATGTGATCTTAATAGCAGCCGTTAATGTAGTTTTCAGGATTTTACTTTTAAGTAGGTATATACATACATTTGTACGTGTATAGGTTAAAGGAATACATAATATGTGTATCATTTATATAAAGTTAATTTTGCTTGGGTTTTATCGTGTTCATTTTAATTCGAACTAAAAATAAATAAAATGCACCATATTTTTATTTTTACTTATTATATGCCAGTACTTGACTATAATCCCACCTGGCCGTAAGTTGTGTGGAAGCCCCAGATGAACATTTTTTTGAAACTAAATATCTGCTACTATCAGATTTATTCATTTAAATTATTGTCCTTACATTGGCATACTTTTTTACCATAACATTATGGTCGCTTCATTAAAGTGATAGAGATGATTTAACAGAGTAAATTGGTTACTTTTTTATCTATATTTAATATTGGTCAAAAAATCGAATTTTTAAAATCAATTGCAGTCGGAATTACCTTAGTACTTTTGCTCGTTATTATCTTTTTTTATAGTATAAGGGTGACAAGCGAGCACACAGCCCACCTGATGGTAAGAGGTTGCTATGGCCCATAGACATCTACATCTATCCTCGATTACGAATAAAAATGCAGATACGTTGTCACCCGTGAGGACTAAGATGGAATGCCTCATTTCCAGTAAAAAGGGTCTCCGGTTGTCTGTCACTGTACACTCACCATACGAAACAAAGCTAAAGCTGCTATTTTACGCTGGTATTCTGTGCGAGCGTGGTCCTTCCCCGGTCGAACCGACCCATTCGTGCTACAGACTACTAACTACCATGTAAGAAAATCATAGCTTAGTAACTATTCGAATATTACAGAGAAGTTTTCCTTTAACGTAAGGAGTACATACTTAAAAGGAGCCTGACACAATGAGTTGTTTACTTGATTACACCTTATGCGTTACGTTATTTATGTCTATCAAACAAGATTAATTATAAAACAGCGCCTATTACTCATACATAATATAAAAGTATCTGGACCACCAAGTTTTGTACGGCGTTTACAACAAATATAATTTTATGAATCTAACCTAACCCAAACGAAAAAATATACAAATCGTTCGACCGATTTCCGAGAAATCAATAACATAAATATAATTACAAGAATTAATACATTACAAGAATTGCACGCATTTAAAATACATTAAAAGGTAATGATTAGCTTTATAGTGGTGAATCAATTTATATTGTACAAGCCGAGCAGGCAATAGGTTTTAACTATAAAATTAATGTATATAATTAGTAAATAATTAGTCGTGGTTAGAGGGTTTTAGGGCAAGGAAATGTCCGCCGCGCTACCCCTCCTCAGAAATGAGAGGAGGCCTGTGCCCAGCAGTAGGACGTATATAGGCTGTAACTTAAACTAATTAACTTTAACTTTAGTCGCTGCTGATTTGAACCAGGCTCAGCCTTTTAGACGCGATTTACTAGATAACAGGATAGTAGGGCTTCCTTTTTTTCTTTTTTGCCTAGAAGCTAATTGAATTGTAAGTCCTCTTGCCTGCTACCAAGTGGTAGTGCACTTACTGAGGCATTCCATGTGTTTTTTATCGTTTGAAGATGCTGTTAGGTGTCAATCCAAGGGCTGCAGTAGCAACTCACTATCATATGGTTTGTCATCTCGTTTTTCATTTTAATATTATAATAATAGCGTTACCGTTACAGTTTATTAAAGTCCACTGCTGAACATAGGCCTCCCCTATAAATTTCCGTAAAGGGGGATATTTGCCATAGTTGCCACCCTTGGCAAGCGGGGCCGCAGTTATATTTTTAGTCGTTATTAGGAAGACGTTGCTGCCAATCTCCTGGTTTGTTTCCCTCTGTCACTTCTTACAATACCCACGGGATGATATGAGGTAGTCATTGAGTTATATGTACTACGTACTAGAGAAGCCATTCCAAACAAAAATTGTGTCCTACTCTATGTCTTCGCGCATGCGCGGAAGTAGTAGTCGCGCATGCGCGAAGACTTTAATTTAATATAAAATAAATATAAGAATTTAATATAAAATATCTTAAATTAATCTAAACAAACATATTTCTAAATAAAACGTAATAATAATTATTTTATGGAATTCACAAATCTTCAATTTACGCAATATTTAGTTTGTATGGATTGCACTACAGTTCAGTTGAACATAGTCAATGTTCGGAATGGCTTCTCTAGTACGTAGTACATATAACTCAATGGAGGTAGTGGATATTTTTACAATTAATGCTGCAGTCGTATAGGTATTATTTTGGCAAGAGTGTAGTCTAAAATAGTCGTATTACGATAGTAGTCTTTTTTAAGTTGCCACAAATTTATCTATGTACCATATAACATAAAATTCGAAATAATATTTCAAAGACATGTGCCAGTTTATTATATTAAGGCCTCTAAAGCTCTCAGAAATGAACTGGACAGTGGTACGTATGCAAATATATTATATTTTTTATGCGTAAGATCTTAAAATGCACTAGATTCTAATCATATAATTAGTATTAAATCTATTTAAAATTTAATAGCACATGTGCGAACTGAGGTCGATTCCCGGTAGCACCAATCAAATTGGTAGTCGAAATAGATGTACCTTGTGACCTTGTGATTGACGGTGAAGGACATTGAGTTACTAAATCAATGGTGAAGGAAAACTTAGAGGAAACTTACATGTATGTTAAACTAAATAATTACTATTCGAAATGGGAACCATTTTTTTCACCATTCCTATTCTGAGATATGTTTAAAGTTTGACTCATCTAAAATTTAGTTTAAGATTAATTGCAAAATTTGTACCGACATGAGGAATAGAAAAAATCAAAACGTAATAATACAAAACGTAAATATATTAATATTTTGAGGATATTATGTGAAGTTCCTAGCAGCACGGTGAAATCTTTACTTGTTCTAAAGTCCTCTTAAAAATGAGAGCCTGCGCCCAGTAGTAGGACCTATGTAGGTAAATAGGTACTTTAATTAAATCTATAAAAAATCTTGACACCTTATATTTATAACCGTGACTAAATTTTAATTACTTCTTCATAGAAGTTATATAATTATTACAATAATAGGTACAAGGTTACATTTGTTATTAGTCTATGTTCGTGATTTTATTGTTTAAGATGGTATAATTGAATTCTTATCATAATGACCGCAATGGTCATCGGAATTCCAATATCGAAGTAATTAAGTAGTTGAACACCACCATTAACAAATTACTACATTTTAATAGTTTTAGATTTTGGTCGATTCTCCATTCATTTTATATTATTTAATAATTTAGAATTAAAAATTTTGTACAGCCGACTTCAATATAAATTATTAAGAATAACTCAAAAACTATTGGTCTGACCTTGATCATATTCATATGGGACCACACGAGAAGTACCAGCTTTCAAATAAAAAAAGAATCATCGAAATCGGTTCACCCAGTAAAAAGTTATGAGGTAACACACATAAAAAAACATACAGTCTCCTTTTTGGAAGTCGGCAGAAAATATAGAATAATTACATACATATGTATGTGAATAAGTACTGGAGTGTCAAATATTCAATTCTATCCACGGACCCTATAATTGTACACTTGTAATATTATAGGCTTCGCGCAATGTTACGAAAGCGTAAGCGTTTTAGCTTTTGAGCGCCTCCCCCCTCCTCTCCACAAGAGAGGGAATCCGATTCATTAACACTGACACACAAACACACACACACACACACACACACACACACACACACACCACACACACACACACACACACACACCCACACACACAAATTTAGACATAGTACAAAATACTAGGGCACAACTCGAAAGCAAAAAAGGACTCTACCACCTGTACCATTACTACCACCTGCTCTTAATTTTAGGTCTTGATCCGGCCCAGCCCTGCTTCCGTACTGACAGTCTAGCGGAGCGTTTGGACGCGACCGATGCCGACTTCGTTGACGTGATTCACACGAACGGACGGCTTTTAAAGAGGATTGGTTTTGGGTTTCCCGAACCGACAGGTACAAAATTAATCTTTATTAATCAATACATATAATTTCAAATCTAAATTAAAAAGAAAATTCCCCTGGGTTTCTTGATGGTCCTTCCTTAGGTAGAGATTTTATCCGAAACAGTAGTGTTAATTTTTTAATCAATATAAATTTTAACTACCAAATGTATTAAATGAAACACACAATTTATCTATGTTATTAATTTTGAAACATAATAATTTACACTCGGTTTGACATTATTATTTTGACATTATAATTTTAATTATTACATTTATTATATTATTATTTAGTGAATTATTAATATGTTAGTAGTGCAAATATACAAATAGGGTTATATTATGATAATGTAGTTATCAGAATTTTCCATTTTAATTATAAAAAGGAATGTATTTAAGTAGTTTGCACACCGGAACGTAGAATATGGCTGTATTTTTGTTAAATTATTAAGACCTATTGTAACCCATATATCGCAAACGAATAAAATGAATTTAAATTTGAATATAAGTAATCCTATTTTGTTCTGTACTGTAGTTTATTCGCTATGTGGTGGCGGTGCTAAAAATTGCTGGCTTATTCGCCAAAATAGAACAAAATGAAGATAAAGAACGTAACGAGGGGATATCCATAATTTAGCGTGAAAACTGCCTTAGTGCATCGAAATTAGCGAAAAAGTCTAAACGATCAACTGTTCTCTGGAAACGTGTGGTGGCATTATCTACCAACAGCATCCAGCAACAATAATGGATTTAAGCCTACGTTCCTTCATCATTCATCATCATTACAGCCCTTCACAAGTCCACTGCTGAACATAGGCCTCCCCCAAAGAATGCCACAAAGCACGGTCCTGAGCCACCTGCATCCATCGACTTCCTGCATATCTTACCAGGTCGTCACTCCATCTAGTGGGGGGACGCCCTACACTTCGCCTGCCGGTACGAGGCTGCCACTCGAGAACCTTTCTTCCCCATCGGTTGTCGGTTCTTCGAGCTATATGGCCGGCCCATTGCCACTTCAGCTTACTAATCTGTTGGGCTATGTCGGTCACTCTAGTTCTACTGCGGATATCCTCATTTCTGAGTTTATCACGCAGAGAAACTCCGAGCATAGCCCTCTCCATAGCTCGCTGAGCGACCTTGAGCTTCCTCATCCGGCCAGCAGTGAAGGACCACGTCTCAGTTCCGTATGTCATCACTGGCAACACGCACTGGGTGTACAGTCTCGTTTTCAAGTTTTGAGGTATACCTGACGAGAAGATGTGCCGTAATTTCCCGAACGCTGCCCAACAGAGTTGAATCCGTCGATCGACCTCTCGGTCGAAGTTGGACTTACCTAGTCGGACTATTTGTCCCAGGTAAACATACTCGTCAACAACTTCGAGCTTAGTGTTCCCAACAACTACCGGCATAGGTGTGACATGGACATTAAACATGATCTTTGTTTTGTCCATGTTCATCTTAAGACCTATCCGTTGGGAAACACTATTGAGGTCATTGAGCATAGTGCTTAGGTCCTCCAGCGATTCTGCCATAAGGACTATATCGTCGGCAAATCGAAGGTGAGTGATGTACTCGCCATTGATGTTGATACCGTATCCTTTCCAGTCCAGAAGCTTGAAAACATCTTCCAATGCAGCGGTAAAGAGTTTCGGGGATATGACGTCACCCTGTCTTACACCTCTCTGCAATTGGATAGGTTTCGTACTCTGGTTCTGTACTCGGATAGCCATCGTAGCCCTACTGTACAAGCACTTCAACACTTCGATATACCGACAGTCAACTTGGCATCGCTGAAGGGACTGCAGCACCGCCCAAATTTCGACGGAATCAAAGGCTTTCTCATAGTCCACATACGCCAGACATAGTGGCAAATTGTACTCCTCGGACTTCTGTACAATTTGCCGAAGGGTATGTATGTGGTCTATGGTGCTAAAGCCTTTTCGGAAACCGGCTTGTTCGGGAGGCTGGAAGTCGTCAAGACTGCGCGCGAGACGATTCGTAATGACTCTCGAAAACAGCACGTAGACGCGGCTCAGAAGGGAAATCGGTCTGTAGTTCTTCAAGAGAGCGTTGTCGCCTTTCTTGAAGAACAAGACCACCGCACTTCTGCTCCACGCCTCCGGTGTAATGCCACCATGGAGGACGGAATTAAAGAGCTTCTGAAGGACTTCAAGTACCGGTCTTCCACCCGCTTTCAGAAGCTCCGCTGTAATTCCATCCTCGCCTGGGGCCTTGCCGTTTTTAAGGTGCTGGAGAGCCATTCTAATCTCGCTCAGACTGACGTCCGGGATATCATCGGAATAATGTCGGATAAGACTCGCTCTTGGATCGTTACTCACACTTGCGTGCGGCTCCAACGATGACGTGTACAGCTGCCCATAGAAGCTCTCAATCTCACTCAAAATCTCAGGTGCCCCGGAAACGATGCTGCCACATTCTGTCTTCAGCTTTGACAGTTGGCGCTTTCTGGCAGACAGATCTCTGGCAAAGACTTTGGAGCCTCGGTTCCGCTCGATCGCTTCTTCAATACGAGCTGTATTGAATTTGCGTAAGTCCCGCCGCATGCATTTGGAGATCTGTCTGTTCAGTTGCCTGTATGCTGTTAAATCTGTTGAAGAATGTAGCTTCATCTCCCGTCTAACAGCCATGAGATTAAGAGTGTGATCGGAGAGTTTTTGTGTTCTTCTGCGGCGGGTCTTGCAGAACTTAGCTCCGACCGCATGGACAGTTTCCACGAGCTTGTCATTCAAATCGTCCACTTCATTGCAGTCTTCTAGGCACTGAAAACGGTTTTGTAACTCGAGCTGAAAGGTTTCGGGACTTTGGAAAAGAGCACGAGGGGGACGGAGCGTTGACTTCATTAGCCGAGACCTCTCCAACTTAACGTTTAGGTTCAGTGTGCCTCTAACCATTCGGTGATCGCTGCCGGTTTTCACCCTCGCGATCACTGAGACATCACTGAACAGTTGTCGTCTGGTCGTCATAATGAAGTCAATCTCATTTTTTGTCGAACCGTCGGGGCTCGACCAGGTCCACTTCCTGTGGGGCCGCTTCTGGAAGAAAGAGTTCATCATAAAGAGTCCCTCTTTCTCCATGAAGTCGGCCAGCTGCTGGCCCCTTGGGTTCCGTTGCCCTATTCCAAATTTCCCTACTTTCAGCTCACCGTTCTCTCTTGTGCCTAGTTTTGCATTGAAGTCTCCCATTAACACCGTATATTGGGTTTTGGAGGAATGCATGGCTCTAGAGATATCCTCATACATTTCCTCCACCTCCTGATCGGGGTGTGCCGAGGTTGGTGCGTAAACCTGTATGACCTTCAGCGAATACCGTTTGGTGATTCTGAGTATAAGGTACGCAACCCTCGTCGACACACTCTCAATCTTTACAACGTTGTTAACGAGAGACTTGTGGACGATAAATCCGACACCTCCTTGGGACAGATGGTCGCCCTCCCGGTAATAGAGCAAGTTGCCGGATTCGAGGATTACCGTGTCCTCCCCCTCTCTTCGGACTTCGGATAATCCTATAATATGCCAGCGTAACTTGTCTATCTCTTCTTCCAGCTCCACAATCTTCTCGTCAGTCCTCAGGGTGCGTGCGTTGTATGTTGCCAGGTCGAGTCGTCGTAGGTGGCAACCGAACCTCCACCGGAGATTCTTAGCACCCCCTGCCCCGCCGTTACCATGGTCGCCACCGTAGCCAGGAATAGCGGGGCCGCCGGGGACTGGGGGCCGTTTATTATTGTCATTGCTCATGGGGGGTATATTGCCATAGTTGCCACGCTTGGCGAGCGGGTTGGCAACCGCAGTTTTTTTATTGTTATTTTGGCTATTATCAGGAAGATGCTGCTGCCCATCTCCTGCCTGTTTCCCTTTGTCGCCTTTTACGACACCCACGGGAAGATATGGGGTAGTGGATATTCTTAACCGCCACTACACGGCAATGCCGACGCGACCGATGCCGACTTCGTTGACGTGATTCACACGAACGGACGGCTTTTAAAGAGGATTGGTTTTGGGTTTCCCGAACCGACAGGTACAAAATTAATCTTTATTAATCAATACATATAATTTCAAATCTAAATTAAAAAGAAAATTCCCCTGGGTTTCTTGATGGTCCTTCCTTAGGTAGAGATTTTATCCGAAACAGTAGTGTTAATTTTTTAATCAATATAAATTTTAACTACCAAATGTATTAAATGAAACACACAATTTATCTATGTTATTAATTTTGAAACATAATAATTTACACTCGGTTTGACATTATTATTTTGACATTATAATTTTAATTATTACATTTATTATATTATTATTTAGTGAATTATTAATATGTTAGTAGTGCAAATATACAAATAGGGTTATATTATGATAATGTAGTTATCAGAATTTTCCATTTTAATTATAAAAAGGAATGTATTTAAGTAGTTTGCACACCGGAACGTAGAATATGGCTGTATTTTTGTTAAATTATTAAGACCTATTGTAACCCATATATCGCAAACGAATAAAATGAATTTAAATTTGAATATAAGTAATCCTATTTTGTTCTGTACTGTAGTTTATTCGCTATGTGGTGGCGGTGCTAAAAATTGCTGGCTTATTCGCCAAAATAGAACAAAATGAAGATAAAGAACGTAACGAGGGGATATCCATAATTTAGCGTGAAAACTGCCTTAGTGCATCGAAATTAGCGAAAAAGTCTAAACGATCAACTGTTCTCTGGAAACGTGTGGTGGCATTATCTACCAACAGCATCCAGCAACAATAATGGATTTAAGCCTACGTTCCTTACAGTCCTAGATATAAGGTGGTAGAATTTAATAATATTATAATAATTATAATAAAAAATATTAAATTTGGTAGTATTTTTATGACTCAAAGATATTTCACAAGTAGAAAACTTTTTTGCAACTACTTTTACAAAAACCGTCACGTTCTAGCACGACCGCGCTATGTAAGGCCGCGCCTAGAGTGCCGTTTAACTTAAATCTCTTCCCGCATAACACAAATAGGTACCTGTGCAATATCAAACAAAACAAGGAACAAGACTATACTTGCCGGCCACACCGCTCACGGCAGTGTATCAATCATCTCGTTTATCTACCAGAAGAAAATTACCCACACTAGAGTTAGGGACAGCACAGTAATATGGCAAGTTCCTAGGTCATGTTAAATGAAAATGCCTAATTGTGTATAAAGAAGTAAAAGTTTGCTGAGTTTTGAACCACGGAACTGCGACCGTGATGGCTGATAGCTTGGATACACGCTTCTAAAAGTCAATACTTGACATTAGTGTGCCGAATGCCGATATGTTATGGAAATCTGGTATATAGCAAAGATATTCACGCAGGTCATCCTTTTCGAATAAGTTTTAAATGTTTGTCTGTACGTAGGTCATGCAGATTTTTATCCCAACGGCGGTATGAAGCAGCCGGGTTGTTACAACACGTCGAATTCAATATGGGCGCGTATCTTGTCCATACCGGTCATAAGTGAGTATGAGTGTAATACATCACCTAAAATAAATAGTCTACAGCTAGCTTAAAACTTAATTAACTCTGCAGTGTTATACTTTACCACACTGCAGCGTGTCATGGCTACATCACGAATAATTCGGCTCAACCGGGAAAACACTGCGTACCTGCCGTCTAACAAAAGTTCACTGTTGAACATGAGGCTCTCCCATAAATTGCTACAGTTTCCCTTTGTCGGCTCGACTGGGAAAGGACCGCGTACCTGCCTACCAACAGCCTATCAAAAGTCCACTGCTGAACATAAGGTTCTCCCATAAATTGTTTCTCCTCATATGACCTCTGTCGCCTCTGATGATACCTACGGGATGATATAGGGTAGTGGATTTCCTTACGCCACCACTACACAGGGAATGACAGCGTTTACACAGGATACGCGTGAAATAGCAGCACATCGCTACTGTGATTCGTACAGTGGAGAGAACCGGATACCTATGTTACTGGTCATTAATGGTCAGATATTCCATCTTAGATTCTCGTGGGTTATAACGCACCAGTCTGTTTTACCACCGAATACCATATTTGTATGTTTATATACATATGTATGTTCACCGATTTCTCGGAAACCGCTGAATCGATTTTAATTATTTTTAACCCAAGACAAAAAAGAGCGGTGGTATATGTTTAACGTGTGTATCGTGTGTTTGTCTGTGGCGTGGTAGCTCCCAAACGGATGAGCCGATTTAGATTGAGTTTTTTTTTATTTGAAAGATGACTTGATCGAGAGTGGTCTTTGGCTATGGTTCAAGAAAATCTTCTCAGCCTTTTTGAAGATCATCAGCTCTTTTTGTTTCGAGGTTATTTAAAATATTCAATTTAATATTATTTTATTAAATTGTAACTCATTTAAAGGTGGTCCTATATAAAATTTAGAGGGGATGAAGTTTTTAATGTTACTATTTCGACGTATTCTAGATTTTACCTTGAACCGCGTGATATTCCTCAGACCACTGAAAACGGTAAAAAAATTTGGTTTAAAAAAATAAAAGCGACTTCAAAATCATAGCAATTTATCGTGTGTTGTACACACCATAAATTGCTATTAATCTGTGTGTAACACAGAATAAATGCCCCAACTTCAGGAAGCCATTATGTGGAAATTACTTTTGTTTGTGTTTTAAGTAGATTCTATTTTTTGTAAAGTTTAATTACTTATTGTGTCTTACTTTTATTTATCCTCTTAAATGACGGGCTATTTTTCTTTTTTATACGCCAACTGCCGTGGTCCGTCGCAGTCGGAACGGGAGGTCTCCCGATACTGGCAAGCGCTAATGTAAACAATGATATCTTTTTAATTTTGTATGCCAGCTATATATAAAACTTATAGATACGTATCAAATCGTTCTGAAGTTGTCGTTATGAGTCGTTATAAGTTTTGTATTTGTATTTTCTTTCTGCTATTCATTTATACATTAACATACCATCAAATTCTACTGCCAAATATAGACCTTTCTCATAGATTACCTCATATACTCCTTAATTGCTAATGTTACCACGCTTGGTGGGCTTGTAACTGCAGTTTTTCTTTGAATTTTTATCTGGTAAGTGCTTCCTGCTATATTTTTCTTTTTGTTTTAGGACTTCAGCAAGCGATATGCAGCCATGGGCGCTCATATCTTCTCTTCACCGAGTCTTTAATCAACAATAACTGTTCGTTTAGGGGTCATCGCTGGAATTTGACTTATGAAGGGTACATGGTAACATTTTTTATTCAACTACTAACACTATTATTGTGTTGCTAATTTACTTTCTTTTTATGATGTATCAAAGTTTATATTTTGTCATGCCTATGCTTGACTGGGAAAGTACGCCAAAGAAGAGTAAAACCTTTTTTGCAGAGAGTGAGCATTTGGAAAAGAAGGAAAATTATATTTTATATTATTTTTTGTTTAAATATTGCATCTGTATAAAATGATTAAGGCTTACAATAATTTAGTATTATGATTATAATATTTATTAATTTATTCTTTACATGGAAGAGTCATACTGTAGCTCTATTTAGGCCGCAGCACGAATAGGTTGGCTTGAACGGAAATACTTGACGAGAAATGACCCCCAGGGAGGGGATATGATGATTGGTAACAATACCAAATCATAAGCCATCATCATCATCATCATCATTGCCTATCCTTTTTTATTAACAGCCCTGTATCAAATTGCAAGTATGTAGTAGCATAAAACAATTCTTAAGAGCCAATTAAGAGCCAATTAATATATATATCATCATCATCATTACAGCCTTTTACAAGTCCACTGCTGAACATAGGTCTCCCCCAAGGAATGCCAAAAAGCACGGTCTGGAGCCAGCTGCATCCTCCGACTTCCTGCATGTCTCACCAGGTCGTCACTCCATCTAGTAGGGGGTCGCCCTACACTTCGCCTGCCGGCACGAGGCTGCCACTCGAGAACCTTTTTTCCCCATCGGTTGTCGGTTCTTCGAGCTATATGGCCGACCCACTGCCACTTCAGCTTACTAATCCGTTGGGCTATCTCGGTTACTCTGTTTCTACTGCAGATATCCTCATTTCTAAGTTTATCACGCAGAGACACCCCGAGCGTAGCCCTCTACATAGCTCGCTGAGCGACCTTGAGCTTCCTCATACGGCCAGCAGCGAAGGACCACGTCTCAGATCAGTAAGTCATCACTGGCAACACGCACAGAAATGAGTATATCCGCAGTAGAACCAGAGTAACCGACATAGCCCAACGGATTAGTAAGCTGAAGTGGCACTGCCGACAGAAACGAGACATATCTCAGTTTTTTTGTTATTTATTATATAGTTAAATTATATATTTTTTTATATTCGATATCAATGGCTAACACCAAAATATTACATTATGTTTTTGTTCAGGCGTTACTCTAAAAAAATACAAAAGCCTATTTACCTACAAAATTCGTAAATGCATGTAACTAAATGACGATACAATAGTTATGGGATGTATCTAAGTGACCTTTATCCGTATATATATATGTATATATATATATATATATATATATATATATATATATATATATATATATACATATATATATTTATGACATTATCTTATAATCTTATATACTCTCTTAATATTTTTATTATAATGTTTAGTTTGAAAGTGGAACGAAAAAATTTGCTATTGTCATGCAAATACCATGAACAAACTATTTCTTTAACTTCTGGCGAACACAACGGTACAATACAAATATTTTTTTCTTTTGTTTATTTTTCAGTGTCAATGCGACTTTAGAAGCAGCCTGTGACCGAATAGCGTCCTGTTCCGAGATGGGCATACGAGCAGTGGGTGGAAACGGCTTGCCGAGAGCCAGTGGCGCTTACTTCGTGCTCACTACCGAGAAGGAACCTTATTGTCGTAAGTATTTCTTAAATCAAAGTTGGTAAAAATTACCTTGCGTACACCCGCTCGATAAAATAAAATGACGTGTTTTACCTACTTTGAAGAGCACCTCTCGCCCTCCCTCAATTGCGTGTATTATCCCCGTCACCACTAATCCCTGCACCATTACTCTACTCTACACTACTAGTATAATTTAGTTTAGTGGTGTATAATTTAGTTAACATACTGTACAAGTAATTAAATGAATTGTTTTGTGTTATTTAGTTATAGGACTGACAGGTTACAAATAACGAGTCTCTTAACTAAAAAAGAATGAAAAAAAATAACATTCCATTATGGTAGTGATATGGTTTGGTTATTTATTTGTTATATTTCATTGCAGCTACAGAGTGGGAACGTCGTCATCCACTCCCGGAATTGTTGCATGACCTTCGTAAGGGCTTTCGTTTGGACCGATCGATAAAACCCGCTGCCAACGCAACCGCGGAATATGCTGATCCAATTGGTACGAACCCAGTTACTACCACCACTGAGACAAGTTGGTTCAGGAAGTGGTTTGGTTGAAGGCGTCACGTTTTAGTTTGGAAAGTGGTATGACAGCTCTACTCGACTCTTTGTAATCGGTCTTACAATAAAAAAGATACCGTAGCTTAATTTATTAATATTAAATATAAAATAAATTATAGTGCTGATTTTTATTGTTTTTATTGACCTTTCAATTGCCAGTGAATAGTTTTTATTCAAGGTATGAAAACCAAAGAAAACCGACCCAGTATTGAGACAGCAAAAGTAGCAAGTTCAAAATATAATATATGATACAGCAATATATTATTAACTATCGATTCACCCCGGCTTCGCATAGTTGATTTCTGGATCTTGACAACAACGTCACCTATCGAGTCCAGTTGTGAATCTAAACCATTCTCTAATCAACTTAATCACACACACAAAATTTCATCAAAATCGGTCTAGCCGTTTAAGAGTTCAGCCACATACACACGAACAGAAGAATTATATAATATATAGTATGAATTTATTATATAAACCTTTTACCTGAATTATTCTGTTCATTCGTGAAAACCGCACCAAAAGAAATTACGTAATTTAAAAGATCCAAGCGAACAGACGGCGGGAAGCGACTTAGTTTTATACTATGTAGAGACAGAGACGATAATCTAATAAGATACCCAAATTAAAACTATTTCTCATTATTTATTCATGTAAAGTGACATCGCCAAGGCGTTTCACTTATATGGCTATGACGGAAATTGAGTCTTAATAATTGTTTCTTCATAGAATTAAGGGTGCTAAACGACCATACTAGCCATCTGATAACACAACGACGCAACTGGATGGAAATCGAGCGCAGAGATTTACACTCCGAGCAATTTTGTCAAGTCAAGACCTGCTACTAAACATACCCTGCTGAGTATAACGTGGCGGTAAAATAACAGACTATGATGCTCTTAGGTATGAAGAGATTACTATCAGGTGAACTATAAATTCGTTTTTTTACCTTAGTTTTATAGATTACTAATATTATAAACGTGAAAGTTTGTGAGGATGTATGGATGTTTGTTACTCTTTCACGCAAAAGCTACTTAATGGATTTTAATGAAACTTTACAATTATATAGCTCCATACATCACAATAACATATAAGCTGTTACTAATAAAGATGAAGAAAAAGAAGAAGATGAGAACCGATTTAGATGGGACTTTTACTAGCAGATAATTGATGAGTAGATCTACAACTGGACCCAGTAGGTTGCGCTGTTGTCGAAATCCAGAAATCACTCATGCGAAGCAGGAGCGGATCGATAATCAATAATAAATAAAAAAGGTTAAGCGATAAGAATATCTTTTCAAAGAATTATAAAGTAATGTTTAAATATTATAAATAAAATCTACACTTTTATAAGAAATAATATTAAGAAATAATTATAAGTTATAGACGAAGAATTGCCCATTATTCAAATCTCCAGAAACCTGTTTGTGTATGGTTCCTATCTTGACATTAGTTATATGCAACATGTAAAAGCTAAATGTTGTAACTTAGTGCTGTGTGATCTCAGCTTCAGAGCAATTTAACTCGCCAAATCGTCACTCTATTACAACCCGTGGGTGTCGCAAGGGGCAACTGTGTGAAATGCCAGAAAGATTTCATGGCCGTTGATACAACTATCTATATAAATAAATATCCTGTTTATGCCAGACGCAAATTTATCATTCGGTAGTGTTGTAACAATATCCAATACCCCATATCATCCCGCGAGTAGGGTTACCAGATGACAGGAATTTTCCTGACATGTCCGAAATTTTAGCTCTCTGAACACAAATCAGGAGATGAGTAGCAGCGTCTTCTTCATAACGACTTAAAATAATAAAAAAAACTGCGATTACCAATCCACGTACCAAGGAGTCGCCCATATACATCAATGGAAAGTCTAACGCGCTGAGGAAAAAGATAATATTATTTACATTAATCACTCCAACAGATAATTAAAAATTAAAAATTTTGTACAACCGACTTCAATATAAATTATTAAGAATAACTCAAAAACTATTGGTCAGAGCTTGATCAAATTCATATGGGACCACATGTGGAGCACCAGCTTTCAAATAAAAAAGAATCAGCGAAATCGGTTCACCCAGTAAAAAGTTATGAGGTAACACACAAAAAAACATACGGTCAAATTGTAGTACCGTCTCCTTTTTGAAGTCGCTAGAAAAGATTAGCCATTTTTGTGTTATTTAAGAGATGGTTATGACAGTGGTATGATGAATGTATAGTCTATGGAGTACAATATTACCTATCTCCCTACGGCGTAAGGTATCTGTGTCAAGTTTATACTATAATGTTGTAATGTTTATGTTGGTTTTTAATATGATAAAATATTTTACCAACAATTTTGATACCACAAAATAACGACTAATCATGACCAAGCAGTCGGTCAACATGTTTGCCATTTGAACCCTTATAAATTTAGAAGTTACAGCCTATGTACATTCAACTGCTGGGCACAGGCCTCCTCTCATTTCTGAGACGGTTTTAGGGCAAGGAAATTTTCGCCGCGCTGCCACGAAATAACTTTTTTTCTTAATTTTCAGACATGCAGGTTTCATCACGATGTTTTCGTTCACCGCAGAGCACGTGGTAAATTACTAGCACAGCACTTAAAATCACAGAATACCGGCGTCAAATAGCAGCTGTGTTTCGTATCATGTGTGTAATGAACCGGAGACTCTTTTTACTGGTAACGAGGCATTTCATCTTAGTCCTCAAGGCTGACAACGCATCTGCATTTTGATTCGCAAACGAGGATAAATGTAGATGTCTAAGGGTCACAGCAACCACTTACCATCAGTTGGACTGTGTGCTCGTTTGTCACCCTATCCTATAAAAAAATTTAAACTCTAATATTGTTATGAATTTGGTTAAATCCTACCAATCTACAATTAATACGAAAAAGTACATACAAGTAATAAGAAAAAGTATTGAACTGTTTAGGATTTATGCTTATTTTTGTCGGTCCCTTTATAATTTATAGGAGTTTTGAAAACCACTTTTATATTTTTGGAACGAAGTTCCTTAACGCACGGTACGAATTTGACGGATGGGGGCTAGACGAAAAAGTGTAAGATTTTCCGTCACGCCCCCTTTCTATAGTGCAAGCGAGATGGATATTATCCATCTCCCTCGCACTTTTTCTTATCTTGCCATGAAAGAAATATTATTTTAAATGACGCTTCATTTTAATAGACGCTAGTAATTCATTTGTTTGTATTTGTTAATCAATAATATAACACTTTTACCAATAGTAAAATACAAAGAAAGGAACTTCGTTCCAACCGAGTGTTCCACGACAATCACGCATGTTTTTCAAGTTCGACCACTGTTTCTTGTAAACCATTACTGATCCTGTATCTGTGTCATATATGGTAAATATATTAGCCTAGTAAAATTTTCATTCTTACCTTCAAAAGTCCCAAATTATAGTGCTTATGGAAGAATGACGTAGGTAAATAATTTCAATCTCACAATTTCTAGATACGTGTAAGCTCTCAATAACTCATATTTGCGGAATATTTACTATTTTTACCTTTCATAAGTAGTGTTGCTACGTCGCGAATTCACTCACTAATAAATTAATTTCATTCATTTCAATAGATCCACAAAAACTGACGAATTAATAACCGAATGCTTCTCAAATGCTGCGAGAACTTCTTTACAGCGGAATCAGAATATGGACTGTGTAATTATTTCAACTTATTGCAACATACGTTAGCAGCAAAATGTTTATAACATAATATTGACAAACGAGTTATATAACATGACCGCACTGTATACCTATGCTTAATACACTGATAAGATCTAATGAGTCCAGTCGAGATACGGAGCTTAACTGATTGTATGTTGTGAGTTAAACTGATATGGTGGTAAGAATGTACAATAGGACATATTTTTGGGGTCAGTTTTCACCGAGATGAGATGTGATGCGACGCGACGCAGCGCGCACTTTTTAAGATAGTGGAATTTAGTCCGAACAGTTTCTCAGTGGTAGATGCGATAAAATACGCAAAGAGATGCAACATCTCTACGCAGTGCAAGTGTGTCAAACCGATCGGAAAGAACTCGGTCGTCGACGATTCGAACCGCTCTGCGCTGGATGTGGTTAAGTGGAAGGAGCTGGAGCAGATTGGGGAGCCCCTGCCCAGAGATGGGAACAGTATTTCATGTGAGGCCGAACCTGCGCCTTGTAAAGTTGCAGGCGGTGTGCCGGCATGAAATACTGCCCCGCTCTGCTGAGCACGCCAAGCTTTTTAGAGGCCAATTTGGCCTTCTCTTCCAAGTGACCACGAAACTGCACGTTTTTACATCCTCAGGATCTGTTATAAAAGCCATCGAATGTGTTGGACCTGTCTGCTTGAAATTATCAGCAAGTTCTGAGACTGATTTGTCAATGGTGTTCCGAGTATAATTTGAAGCTGTGAACCAATTGTTGTGAAATAGGTGTTTACTAGATTAAGTGAAGCTTTTGGCGTATCTTTAATTTTTAACAATTCTGTTGTCGCTTGTTTTGATTGGCTTAGATTACTAACTTCTTTAACTATCTTCCATGTCTTTCTAACGTTTCCAGTACTGGTAATAAGTTCTTGTTCGTAATACTGTCTTTTTAACTTTTTTATTATGTCGTTACATGTGTTTCTGTATTTCCTATAGTGTGATGCTAAATCTTTATTATTATTTTCCTTTTTTAATTGTTTATGTAATTTGTCCCTTTTTCTTATCGATCTTACAACTCCTGGTGTTATCCAGGGTTTTAATGGCCTATTTCTTTTAGATATAGTTATTCTGGTTGTATTAACTTATAAAATCTTTTATAATATTTACAATATACTCTGCAGTATCATTGACATTGTCGATTCTATAATATTCTTCCCAGTTAAGCTCATTCATACCTACAGTTATTTTGTCAAAGTCAATTTTTACTTTATAAAATTTTGATTTATTTTTACTAATTTTTACTCTGTCAATAAGTAATAAAATAGGGTGATGGTCAGTAAATTCATCGAAAACAATAGATGTAATCCCATGTTGGACTCGTACCATAAAATGATCTAAGCACGCTTCTTTCCTTGTTGGAAGATAAACGCATTGTTTTAAGCCATGCATAGAGAGCATATTGAGATATTGGGCAGAATATCCTTTTATAGTACAAGGCTTAACATCTAAGTTTAGATCTCCAGTTAAGACTACGATACTTGTGTTTATGCTATGGAGTATTTTATCAAGTGATGTGATATACTGCGTTGGATTGCGAAAACTTGGTGGTCTACATGTACAGATAACCGTGGTATCTGTATCGACAGTGAGTATTAGCACATTGCCATCATCGACTAATGGTTTATATGATGTGACGTTTATGTTATTTTTAACATATGCTAGCACACCGTCATTCTGGTTAAATAAACGTTTAGTATAGTACGATGTGTAGGTGTCTATTTCCGGTATTATGGAACCATCTTTTAACCAACATTCAGAAAAAACTACAATGTCTAGTGACATGAAAACTAGAAAAGCGTCTAAATTACAATTGAGACTTCTTATATTAACACATAATACACAAAAGGAAGACAAGTTTTTATCATCAAAGTTTTTTACATCCCTACAAAGGTACTTGACTAGTTCAGTAGGACTCGACAAGCTCATACACCTTACCTTGTTTACTAGGTCAATCTCTACTGTTTTAATGATTGGTTTGCACGAATGGAAAAGTGCATTAAGTTGAACGAAGAATACTTCGAAAAACAATAAAATACAATTTAGCTATACCGTGCATGTGGTTTTTCTTATTCACGATCATTTCAGTGTGCCCTAAGAATGACACTGAAGAGTGTTCTGAATTCCAGATCGGAATATTTAAGATTATGTATTCATAACGCGCGTTTTTCTATACCTTTGAAAGCCGTGGTGGCGGTTTATTTTGTTTCTACTACTTTCGCGCTGCGCCGCACGCTTTGACCTTGGTTCAATGGTCAATGGTCTAAGTCTAAGCTGCACGGCGTTTCACTGAGCGGTGCGAAACCGCTGGCCTCTTTAATTATCATCGCGTCTCTGTGTGAACTGACCCTCAGAAAATATATTCCACAACGCAGGATACCCGTGGACAGATTATGCTCATCTCCATCACCGTTACCGTTACAGCAGAACATAGGCCTTCTCCATAGATTGACTCGTATTGTGGATATTTGCCATAGTTGCCACGCTTATCAGACGGGTTGGTAACCGTATTTTATTAATTTTTTCAAGGACGAAATTTTAGGAAGACTTTGCTGTCTGCTTTCTTTTCTTCTGTCGCCTTTGACAACTCCCATTAGACGATATGAAGTACCTAGTAAATTTTGTTATCTTGCACCGCCATTACAAGACCACAGATGGTTGCCATTATACGAGTACGTATAATATCAGTGTGCACCGTGCGCATAAAAGGTTGGAGAAGTTCAAAGTCATTTCCGACAGTTTTCGGAAGAAAACCCATTCATTTAGTAAAAGTTTACCATCATGCTTAAATCATCATGATTTTTAATTACAACTTCTGTAATATAACAATTGTTGCCGGTATTACGAACTAGGCGTCTTCTTAAACCCTAGGCCGTTTAACAAAAGTATAAACTCTAAAAGAAATATATTTCAAAATGGCAACCATTTTTACCACGTTTCCAGTTCTGAGTTGTTTAAAATTTGAAGTCTTGAGCTATCAGGATGTTACTTTAGAATCGATTTCAAAATTTGTACCGAGTAAAGTGTAAACTAAAAATAACGACTATTTAAAATAAAACAATGAAGACAAAAAAAATTAATAATATTAAAAATATTCTTACCCTATTTCACTATTATTGACATTATAAATATATATGGTGGCTCAGAACCGTACTTTGTGGCATTGTATATGGGGAGGCTGATGTTTAGCGGTGGCAGCAGTTCTAAACGTGGTAGACCCACGCATCAGCTTTATTATGGTTATAGCACGAATGTAAATGTGAAATTGTACAGAATACCAGCGTAAAGTAGCAGCTTAATGCTGTTGTGTTTCGTATGGTGATTGTAGTAAAACGGAGACCCTTATCTTACTTTTTTTACTGGAAACGAGACATTCTATTTAGTCATTTAGTCCTCAGGGATGACAACGCATCTGCAGGTTTACTCTTAATCGGGGATAGATGATGATGTCTATGGACCACAGAGTCCACTTAGCATCAGGTAGACTGTGCGCTCGTTTGTCACCTTTATTCTATAAAAAAATGATGGTGAGTGAGTGATGTGCCGTAGTGATATAATAGTAATTGATATTATGGCGCAGGGGATTAAGCGATACCGTGATATTGTTATGGTAACGGTTCTGCTTTGTCGATTGGAAATTTTAGCGCAGTTTATAAAGTAGTCTATTAGCTTAATTTCTTATAAAAATGTGTCTTGATAAACAATAAATAAAAATACAATCAACATTAATACCAAAGTTATTTTACTATATTAAAATTTAAAGTTGTAAAATGGGCAATACAGAGAGTAACGTAACTAGTGGTGTAAAGAAGCAGGCGGGAACGTCGGATCAGAAGCTTTACAAGCTTATTAATTTAAAAGGTATAGTTCTCCATTAAAGTTAAATATAATATCTAGATATGCCTGTTATTCAGGGTAAGCAGTAACTACGGAATTCCTTCCACGGCGTTCTTCGCTGACTCTTCCACTCATTCTTGCGTCATAATTTTGTTACTTTACTCATTTATTCTTTCTACAATTTACATATAGTCATATTATATATCAAGAAGTGAAGTTCTCTATATAATTATATATTATAGAACTGAACAGTATCTATAGTAAATTGTAATCTATGTTTACTTAACAAAAGTATACACACACTTTGTCATTACATAAAACGCAAAGAAATAATGTAAATTATAAAAGATACTATGTAAATAATGCCTTAAATATACGTTTATATTATTTAAAGAGTATTTTTGATTGAAGGTGGAGGTCTTCTGGTAGACATGATGAAGCGGGCCGTCCAGAACAAGCAGTACGCAGAGATCGACCACGCTATCAAAACCAAAGTGGAACCATTCTTGTATAATAAGGGCAACGGTCGTTACATACCTATATCACATCTTGTTTTGTTTCGGAACAAAGAAAGGCCCCGACACAAATTGGTAAACTAGCAGCAATCTAAAACAATTTAAAATAGTATTTTGTGGGTATAACAAAATTAAAATAAAACGTAGATTCCTTCGGCGACATGTTTAATAACGTTAAAAATGTGTCAACAACTCACTCATTAGAAAAATAAGAGAAATAACAAGTTGGAGTATTTCATACTATCATACTTTCTCAGTAGCTGCCCGGAGTCAGGAAGTTAGCGGTGTTTCTCCCTCGTGCCTCGGAAAGCACGTAAAACCGCTGGTCCTGCGGTTTCCCTCAGATCGTGTCTATATATCATCCCATCGGACTATAAGAGCGACAGAATAGAGAGTGCACCTGTGCATACATTTAGGCACTACAATCCTGTATAGCACCGACGAGTAGTCTCCGTTGAAGCTGGATGCCGTGTCCAAAATTCGGTCGGAAGGATATTATTATTATTATCATCCTTACAGATTATCAAAGTCCACTGTTGAACATAGGAAGACGCTGCTGCCCATCTCCTAGTTTATTTTCCTCTTTCGCCTTTTACGACACCCACGGGACGATATGGACAGTTATTCATATAGGTATCTGAGAAATAATCCTTACTTGTATATAAATAGCGTGTATGATTATTTGTTAATAATATTAAAACATATTAGTTTTAATGCGGGTGTAAGAGAGATACATGGTAGAGATGGCTCTATAGAATATAGAATTAGGGTGACAAACGAGCACACAGTCCACCTGATGGTAAGTGGTTGCTGTGGCCCATAGACATCTACATTTATCTTCGATTACGAATCAAAATGCAGATGCGTTGTCAGCCGTGAGGACTAAGATAGAATGCCTCTTTTCCAGTAAAATGGGTCTCCGGTTCTCTACACTCACCATACGAAACAAAGTAGCGTTAAGCTGCTATTTAACCCTGGTATTCTGTGAAAGCGTGGTCCTTCCTCGGTCGAGCCGACCCATTCGTGCTACACCTATACTATTAATATAGCTGCAGCATGTCTCTACCACGTATAAAAAACCAGGAAACGTACACGGTCTATCAGAATACCAGCGTAAAATAGCAGCTTAAACTGCTGTGTTTCATATGGTAAGTCTAGGGAAGAGACCCTTTTTACTGGTTATGAGTTATTCTACAACAACGTATCTAATTTTTACGTAACTAACGTAACGTGACAACGTATCTAATTTTGATTTTTAATCAAAGCTAGATATTTGTCTATGGGTAGCAGCATCCACTTACGAATGGTGGACTGTGTGCTGGTATTATAGGTGTTTAGTGTTGGTTTCACTTTCAGGTTTATAAATTAAATTAAGATGGAAAGTTTTATTTTAGTTGCCTGCTTTGAGAGGAATGGAGAATCCTGACGAAGAATTTGACGTTGAGAAGGATTGGCCCGTCGTGACGCAAGCGCAGTACGATGCAAATCCTTCAGCTTATAGAGAACTGTGCTGGGATTTGAAGGTTATAAAATTTTATTTTGATTACTGTTTTTTTTTACATTTTTAACTATCACCGATGTTAAATTATAAGTTGTGTCGCCCGAATTTTCTTGTATTGCTAAACATAGGCTTATGTAGTTGTGAAGTGATTTTCATATTTGTAACAAAACCTATTAGTTGTTGCAATATGTATAAAACTGATCAAAAGGTCCTGGGTTCGAAGCCCGGGTTGGGTCAATATCAGTTATTGGGGTTCCCTGCGAAAACATTCTCAGCAGCAACCTGGAATCAAGAAGTTAGCTGTGTTTCACCCCCGTAACTCGGAAAGCACGTAAAACTGTAGGTCTTTTGCCTGATCTCTCTCCGGTCGTGTAGGATTATCTTCTCATTGCAGTTGCACTCTCTATTTTCTTACTCTCATAGTCCGCTATGAGAGTGAGGGAATAGAGAGTGCACCTGTGTTTGCGCATAGACTTGGGCACTATAATCCTGTCCTGCGTCTCCGTTGCGACTGACTTACCGCCTTGACCGAAATTCCGAGCTTCTGTTAGTGATCGCGTAACTTTTGAATAACTTGATGGAATAATGTCACACCATATTTTATTATTATATTTATTGATAATATGATGTTTTATTTTTTGGTAACGTTTATACATCTCTATATATAAAAATTTATTTAATTTTAAAATTATGCGGGTTTTTTTTTATAGGATAGGGTGACAAACGAGCACACAGTACACCTGATGGTAAGTGGCCACTGCGACCCATAGACATCTACATCTATCCTCAGTAAAGACTCAAGATGCAGATGCGTTGTCACCCGTGAGGACTAAGATGGAATGCCTCTTTGCCAGTAAAAAGGGTCTCCGGTTCTCTACACTCACCATACGAAAGACAGCAGCGTTAAGCTGCTATTTTACGCTGGTTTTCTGTGAGAGCGTGGTGCTTCCCCGGTCGAGCCGACCCATTCGTGCTACAAATATACCACTAATATAGCTGCAGCATGGCTCTACTACGTAAAAAATTGTCCGTTAGTCTCGCAAAATTTTTTAAATGGCTGGACCGATTTTAATGAAATTTTTTGTGTGTGTTTGAGTGGGTCCCTGGATGGTTTAAATTAACAATTGGATCTGGTAAGTGGCGCTGTTGTCGAGATCCAGAAATCACCCGTGCGAAGCCGGGGAGGATCGCTAGTATTGTATATTATGTCTTATAACGCTGCTTGAAACTTTTACGATATCATGAGAAATTATTTACAGATTGTGTTTTAAGTGTATTCAAGTTAGACAAATCATTGAAATACTTGTTGTAATTACTGTATTATGTTATCTAGGAGCGGGGAGCTGTCGGGGAAACCATACTTCATCTATGCTTATTGAACGCTACTACTCTTCGGGGTGATCTTGCAAAGAGGATCCTGCGCTTCTATCCAAAACTTATTAACGACATTTATATTAGCGATGAATATTACGGTATGTTGTTAATTATATTTATTCTTTAAGCGAAGCGAATAATTAAAAATAATTCACTTCGCTTCGCTAATTATTTTATTACTGTGCAGTGGCGGTGTAAGAGAGTTAATTACCCCATTTCATGCCCTGGGTAAAAGGTAATTATGGCAAATTTCAAAAAGATCTTATGGCTTCCGAGAAATGGCGGTAAAAACGGTTTTCTTTGCGTCATGTCAGTTAGCCCATGCCATTCTCACACGACATCGCATCGTAAGCGTATCGTAATACGCGCGTAGGACCAGAGTATGGAGTGTAGAGAGAAGGAGGACCATCTCTATATATGAAAAGTGTCCCAAAAACGTGTGCAGTAAGGGTGGCGCTGCAGTAGCATAGGATAAATTAAAAAAACGCGCCAAAAGTAATTAGAATAAGATAGAGAAATAAACAAGGACCGACCAATCCGCTTGGTTTTGAACTACGTAAATAGTTGAGATTTTGTATACTGGCATTTTACTAACTACTCTAATCATGACATTTTTTAAATATTTGAATTTAGCTGACTTCACTCCGTTCACAACAGCTATCTTCATATCGTAGTTTTTCAGACGCCAGCGCTATTGTTGTAGGTTTTGAAACCTCTATTTTCAGTAAATAGTAGGACACTTTTTCAACTTTCGCCCCTTATAAGATGGTTCTCCTTGTACTCTACGCTCCATAGACCAGAGCAATACAAGCGCGTATACGTTCAAACAAGTCCACACACGAAGCGGTGCTGCAGAGAATTGTAGGAGATTTGGTTCTAATGCGGTTCCAGAGAAACTTCGAGCAGAGTCCTTCTTATAGCTACTCTTAAATGGGGAGGAGTTGAGTCTTGTGGATACCACTGTTTTTCTTGGTATTAGTATTGACGCGAAACTTCAATGGGCCCCCATATATCTAAATTAGCAATCAGATTTAGTTCTGCAGCATATGCTGTAAGAAAGATTAGAAGTCTCACAGATGTTGAGACAGCTAGGTTAGTGTATTTTAGTTACTTTCATAGCGTAATGTCTTATGGAATTTTACTATGGGGTAATGCGACTGATATTGAAGCTATATTTGTTTTGCAAAAGAGAGCCGTACGGGCGATTTATAATCTAAATTGTAAAGAGTCCCTCAGAGAAAAATTTAAAGAAATAAACATATTAACTTTGGCATCGCAATATATTTATGAAAATGTAATGTATGTACATAAAAACATTAATAGCTTTAATAACAATAAGGATGTTCATACCTTAAACACTAGGAACAAACATAAGATTGTAATGCCAGTTACTAGACTCCACAGAATTAGTAATTCATTTATGGGGCAATGTATACGCTTTTACAACAAAATCTCAGAACATGTTCAAAGTTTGTCAATAAACAAGTTTAAAAGTTTTATTAAAGAAAAAGTCTACAAAAAGGGTTATTATAATATCAAGGAATACATGAATGAAAATAACCCCTGGGAATAAGGTGATCGCCACCATGCTGGTTCTATGAAAATTCATTTAAAATTGTATAATCAAAATTATTGTTAAGTGAAATTATGTTTAAAAAAAAGTCCCGCTGGGTTTCTTGCTGGTTTTTCCCAGGACAGAGGTATTTTCCGAACCAGTGGTAAATAAAACAATGACTTTCAATAAGTATTATGCAAAGATGTTTTATAGGTCCAGATCATGAAGTTATAGATAAAGATGGAGACCACACTCCGAATACCTACTTGAAGCTTAACCTATGTATTACTATCTCGCTCTCTGTTGGCAGACCCTCCCTTTCTAAGTAGGTAGCCTTTATTTTATTTTTCCCAGGATATCGCTATAAGTAGTTGAGTTACATTGTTTTATTTATAAATATCTATATCTCTGTTTACTACTAAGACCTAGCCTATATACAATTATATATTTTTGTACAATTTTTTTTGGGAACTGACTAGTTTTATGAAGAAAGGTTTTCATTTCCATGGGCAGAACCGGTATTAAAATATGACCACGCATTTCCGTCACAACCCATATAATGCCGAGCCTATTTAGAAAATGTGGAATATAAATATATCAGAGAATATTTTATAACTACCATTTCGATAATGTATTTTCTGGTTATTGTATACAATTCCTAAACGGTACCAACGAAATATAAAATTTCATTTTAAGAATTATCTACAATTCCTAGGAATTCTATATAATAACGGATTTCATAGATTTCTAGTAACATATGTACTATAATAGGAACGATAATATATTATTATATTGAGTTGTTATCAGGAAGATGCCGCTACCCATCTCCTGTTTCATTTTCCCTCTGACACATCTTACAACACCCTCGGAACGATATGGGGTAGTGGATATTCTCACACCGCCACTACATGGTTTGTTAAAAACCTTAAAAAAATAAATAAAAACACTTTCCATATTAAAATTATTTATTGAAATTTTTCACACCATGTGGATTACTCTGTGGCTTTTTGAAGTCCTTACAGATATGAGCAAAGCGCCCTTGAATAATATTTTCAATTTCTGACTGACCCGTATACTTTTTAATAGTGTCCATTAAAGAAGACCTATCCTGAATTTTTTAGTTTAGCGCGTCACTTTTTGCTTAAGAATCTTAGTTTTCGTCTCAAGTATTTCTTCTTTAGTACACTTTATTTTTTTCACTTGCACATTTACTTTCACTTGCAAGCCCCTATCAATCTTCGCAGGATCGTCGTATTCACTGCTGACCTAAGAAAACAAGAAAACTATATGAAATCAGTATTTTTAGCATCGTACATCGTAGTCATAATAAATACAAATAAAAGGTATGTATTTAGTAATAAAGGAAAAGGAAACTTACAGGTAATTTGTTAAGATTGCATAAATTTTCAAGAATTTTTCGACATTGTTTTTTACTAGTTTGGTCTTCAATATTACAGCCAGTACATTTCACTTCTGTTTCCTTAAGTGCAGAACTACTTTCATAAATGCTAGAACTAGTGCTTGGTACAGCCAGAGCAGCTAATTGCACAATAGACTCTTCGTGTAATGCACTTGTTGTCTGCAAATAATAACATATTTTACAAAATGTTGCTTTATATCATACGTCTAAACTACTACATTTCTAAATACATAATTATTATAAACCTTATTAAAGTATCATAATAATGAGAAACAAAAACTAAATAAAAATAAATTGTCTACCAAAAGAATATAGGTATTATGTTACTAATTTTTAATTTAATATTATGAAATATATGAAATCCGTCATTATATAGAATATATAGGAAGTGTACATAATTCCTAAATTTCATGCATTTCCGGTAACATAATAAGAAACATGTACATATAATTAGTTAAGGTCACACGGAAAGTCTCAGATACATCGTCAATATGGTCACACTACTTCAATGCGATTTCTTTTAAACAAAAAGAATAAAATTGTTCAAACTTAATTAAATTCAATGTAAAACTATTTGATTTTGACAAAGTTATAATTTACTAATATGTTTAAAACACTGATTAAAACGTTTCAGCAAAAAATTAAGTGAAAATACAAAAAGTATGTTTACAAGTATTCAATGTCAGAAGTCACTATTTAAACACTTACGTGTGAAATCTTATATCACCTCCTGGACACCAACTACTGCCGCAACCACATACTACACAAGTTTGCACCATTTCTTGAATTATAACAATAATTAACTTTAAATATCTCAAACGACGCTGTGAACTGCTAAGTAAACAACCGCCATATTTGTCTAACTTATGTTGACATATAGGGCTAATGTTGCCACATTACCGAACCCTTAGGAAATGGGATTGTAATTCAATGATTCGTGAACCCAATAATGCATACGAGACCTTTAATTTTGGAATTTTTAATGTAACTAATCGTAGATCAACTAAGTATTTATTTATTGGTACATTATTTTACAAAGCTTAACTTCTGATTTAGTTAGTGTGGAAATTATTTCTAAGAATTTACCGGGAGATTTAAATAAAAACATAGCAATATTGTGTTCCACACTAAAAAGAGAAGTCAGACCACAGAGAGTGAGATAAAGATACGTAGGTATTTGACTCAAGCTATTGTTCCAAGTGTGGCCTCCATCTTTATCTATAACTTCATGGTCCAGATACCGTGTAAGCGCGCCTAAAACGCTTCCATTTCAAAGGCGCCAATACTGGTGTATTCGTTCGATCGTTCCGCCATTACGTTAGCGACGTTCACTGTGAACATGCGTCACGCACCGGTGTTTTTAATTTTGCAAAATGACTGTCTCTGCTGTAAAATCATGTAAAAATTACTCTTGGAAAAAAGATAAGGATAAGAACATCACTTTTCATAAGTAACTATATAATTTAGTGGTGTATTTCTTTGTAAAAGAAGACGAAAGCTAAATTTCAATACAAGTAATAATACTGCGCAATAATATTCGAGTGTTGCCTAGTGTATGAAATGTTTTTACCATTTTTTAATGTCATGATCAACCGGAAAGGTTATCTGTATAGGTGTTTTAAACGGTCTAGTTTTACAGATTTTACCCAACCTATAGAGTTAAACCGTTTTAAGAATTACATCTGGCAGCACGGAATCGCACTTTCCTGTGCTTCTATCCTTTTTGGTCACTCAGAACCGTTATTTACTAGAGCGTGAGTGTGTAGTTCCATCCTCAAAAAGCCGGCTTCAAAAGTTTATCTATCATTCTTGACAATCCATACTAATATAATATTATAAATCTGAAAGTGTGATTTTTTATTTTTTTTGTCCTTCCTTCACACAGCAACGGAACGGAGCAATTTAAAAAAATTTAACATTTGCTATCTCTTGGCCGAAGTTTACGCTTAACCAAACTTACTTTTTTTCGTCATTTTACTTAGGATTGAAAAATAATTAATGGCTTCGTAAAAAGCGGCAATATTATGTGTTCTACAGTACAAAAGTGTAGTACTGTGTATATATTTAATAATAATAGATTATAAATATATGTTACGTGCATAAATATCTACTGTGCTTTTTAT